CATTAGAGTCCACTTCCAGGTGGAACTTCCTCTTCGTCATTTGGGATGGCAAGCATGATGTCAAGCAGAGCTTGTTTCGATGTGATGGTATGGTGCAGTTTGCACCTTTGCACTGGAGCTTCACTCCCAGTGTAATTTCTGTGTAACACCTCCATGTCCAGGGTGTAGTGATCTTGGTAATTTGGAATTTGTGTCCTTAGATTATCGATCCTTAACTTGGATTGAATAAGGCTTGTCTCATATCGGTAACACGTGTTGGGTGACTTCGATGTTGGAGACCCTTACAATCGCTGGGTTAAGTGAGGTAATCCCTTGGAGACAAAATCCCTTCATTTCTTTTTGGAGCTTTAACAGCTCCCCTGTTCTGGGTGCAGCTTGCGCCCTGCTAGAATCCACTTTTCCAAGTGGGACTGTTGTTTATATGGGTAATCTGTGGAAACTCTGAGGAGAACACCACTGATTAGTAGGACTTTGGTCTGCGTTTTGCTACATCTTGGATGCTCTGCAAAAACATGATTGGGATGCTGTCAGGTCTGTCTCTGTCAGGCATCATTGGTGGTTCTTCCAGAGTAATTCGTGGCCTTAGATCATCGATCCTTAACTTGGATTGAACAAGGTTTGTCTCATATCAGGTAACACATGTTAGATGACTTCGATGTTGGAGACCCTTGCAATCACTGGGTTAAGTGAGGTGATCTCTTGGAGATGAATTCTTCTGTTGATGCCCTCACCATCCTCTCTCTTATAAGAGTAGAAGGTGGTGCTGTGAGCGCGACTATCTGTGAATTCATCGCTGATCAGTAATGTGGACTGTTCTCAGTCAGCGATCTTTTAATGAGGTAGTTCTCGTTGATTGCTGATTTTTACGAGGTTTACTCCTCCATTTGAAATCTTGATAGACTCCTGGTATATTGGTTGTGTGGCTGCCATAGTCCTCGCATTTTCCAACAAAAGGCTTTCATAGCCTTGCATGTCCCAGCGAAAGGGGAATAAATATGCATAGCGGTTGTTTTTAAAAGTTTACTTCCTTCCCTGTGTTTCTGGACAGAAGGGATTTACTGTCCATATTGATTCGTCTAACGTATCTTGCCATGGAGTTCCCCCACTCGAGGGGTTTTTCCTTGGTGGTAAGTTTGGTTGGAGTCCTCATTGAATATGGTTGTATGGCTTCCAGCAGCCTCGCATCTCTCAATGAAAGGGATTGGCAGTAGTACCTGTACAGGCAGGGTCCAATAATTCTGTTTTTTTGATGGTTAACAGTTATGAGCAAAGTGTCGGTTACTGTTGTGGGTATCTGTCATGATCATTCTTTGAGCATCACTAGTTTTGAATAGAGACGTAGTTCATTGAAGAAGTCCTTTGAGGGGAGGAACTGGCTCCCTGAGGACTTCTCAGAGACTCCTCCTGTTCGATCATAGATGTTGCTCGAATGTTGGCTTGAGAAACGGCTTTGTTGTTCTCCTAGGCAATTATTATGGCATATAATTCCCAGGTATGCTTCTCATAATGGTCTATGTCCCCTGGCATTTCAAATGCCAGCAGAGACATGGCTATGGTGATGGGAGTAGTGGGCATCATCGGACTCTGGGGTGTCACCCAGGTTACATTAGGGCTTCGTTCCAGGTTCCCAAGAGTGCTCCAGTCTAATGATTTTTTGCAAAGGTTTTGTCCTTCTCCAGGTGATCAGGATGAATGGGATTTATTGTCCATTGTCTGAGCCAATGGCTCCAGAGAATATGTAGAATCCTTTGGTACTGTGCCTATACAGCAGTGGGATGATTTACTCAAGGTAGTTATTATGGCCAATAACTCCTCTTTTTGAGTACTATCCATGCCAGCCTATGACGGTGGGGTACAGACCACTTCATGCGTGAGTTCTGATTTTCACGTTTTGCGGGTCCATCGTCAATCAGTTGGGATAGGATTTTTAGTGGATTCCCTCCACAGGTAGGTTGCTTAGGCTGCGCATTAATCGCCTAGCTCTCCTGCCTGTTAAGGGTATATCCATTTTAAGTGGGTTTCTGCGGTCTCTGATTGGAGGCACATGGCCCTTCATGTCCACATGGATGTATAGGGTGCATCTGGTTTTTCTCATCAGGAAGGTCTTATGGGGGAGTCACCTCTCCTCATTACCGCCTGTTTAACAGTCATGAGCAGAGTGTCAGTTACTGTTTTTAACAGGGATTGTAGAGTCTGAGTGTTACTCCTACACTTCATGAGTTCCTCCTCTTGGATGAGTTTAACCAGAACTTCTTGAGTCCGAAGGGTACTCCTCTGATGAGTATTTCGAGGTTTCCCTCTTTCGGCATCGGGGACTTCCCCCTGTCGCTGTTTCGCTGCAGGACTTGTGGCCCATTGGTCTTCTGCAGTTACTTAGCTTCCTGCCTGTTTGCTTGTGCTACTAAGGTCTTTTCCACTTGGGGATGGCTCGCACAGTCCAGGTTTTTAAGAGTCCCATAAACTCTGTTGGTAACTAAAATCATCTTCATCGTCAATAATTTCAGTAATAGTTACCAGTTCGAGGTGACAGCAGTTGGTCACCAGACTGAGGTTGAGCATCGCTCCTGCTTCCGGGGGTGAGGGAGGTTACTGTCAAACCTTTGGGAGCTCTGTTACACTACAGGCCTCCAACATCCCTGCAGCTTGAATGTCCGCTTTCCCGAGGGGTTCACCACCATCACAGCAGTGCCTACTTGTTTTTGATCCCATACCGCCGGCAGCAGTACTTCGCTTGCTCGTTTCTGAAGTTGTGCACGAGTTGCGCTTTCCCAAGAGTCTGGCCCTGGTTTGGCCTTCGTTTTGACCTCTCATATGATGGATGTTGCCCGTAGGGAACAACAATGTCACATCCTTGCCATCTACCATGTCGACATCTGAATTGGTTGACTCCCCTGCTACACCATGTCATCTGGTGGGTTGGAAGTGTTCGTGACGTGGTAGAAGAGGGTCGGGCCCATAGAAGTTTGATCGGATCTATTGGGCCATCAAACGGATCATCAGACAGGTGTGATGATGATGCAGTGTGATCGGTGTGATTAAGCAGGTCATGGATGATGCGAATAATCTTGTTCTAGATCCATGCTGCCATTTCAGATTTGTCCGATTGAGGTCGTCTGCAATGATGTTTCAGGGGTTTGCTTGGTGTATTTCACCGTGAAGGTCCAATGGGGGAGTCATCTCTTTTTGACATTATGGGGGGTGACGTTGAGTCATTGCTCCTATGCTTCATCGATTCCTTCACTTGGGCAAGTCAACCGGAGTTCCTCTTGTAGTGGTGCACTGCCTCTTCTCTGTCCATGGGGGTTCCAACTAAAGATCTTCACGATTGCCGGGTCTTTGATGAGTACCTGTGGATTAACCGGCATCCGTACCTGGCACGTGATCATCCATGGATGTCACCACATCCGCTACATCTGGATGTCGCACGGTTGGTGGGTAGGCCACCCCAGCTCGCGGTTACCCGTAGCAGGTACCCATACTACCTTACAAATATTCACACACCAAAATAGTCACCATGCCCTATTTACAATTAAACTAAATATAGCATTATACAAATACATTATTCTTAATAAAGTCTCCCCAATATTATCTGCAGACGAAGTCCCTGTGAAGGCAAAGTAATGATATGCAAATGTCCTCTATCAAAATAATAATGTCCATTGTCCATTCACCCCTCAACCAACTCCTCAATATCAAGATAAACACCTGAACATGTAGTCGCAATTCGGTCGTGAGGCTCTGGGACATATGAATCTGAGGTCCAGTGGCCTAATTGGCAAGGCAGAACAGGTGCATGACCGAAATACAAGAAGAACGTATCACAATAATGAGCTGCAATAGAATTTTCAATGCTCAAAAACTCATCCTTGGTCCAACCAGTGGATTTTACCACATCCAGGAATGCTGGATGATTCCCATCCCACGTCTTCATCAGCTTCTTCATTGCGAATATGTACGGGGCTCGTTGCAGCCATAAATGATAGGGCGAGGCCATAATTCGCAGAGCCGACATCGATTTGTCCTGGAAGCTGCCGTCCATCAGGAAAGCAATGCCAGACATCCAGTTCTTGGGTGCCAGCACCTGCACTCACTGTGGCTTGTCGATGGAGTGCCCTGAACTCAGTGCTGAAAATTCACTTCCGCCATTTCCCAGCATATCTCCCTATGCTCCTCCATTGTAAGACTGTCATAAGACTTATCCCACCAAAACGCTGTCGACGCGGTGTTATTTGCACGGAGAGGGAATTCCATGTAGCCCTCCATGATCTTGGTCACCTCTTGCCGCCGTCTCACTGCCAGACCACCGCTCTCACCTGCTGAATGCAGAAATCCCAACGCCAACACCGTCTGCCATTCTTGATGATACAGGTTTGGAGGTACCCTGCTCCTGTGACAGTGAGACGCACAAACAGAGGTGTTCGCAGATGCAACCACGAAATCAAAAAAGAGTTTACTTTTTCCTCTGTGTTCACGGTGGCAATAATATCAGGCCGAGGGAAGGCATATTGCGATTCCCTTGGAATTGCAGTCGGCTGAGGATGGCCAGAAGAATGACAGTGCAAAGGATTGGCATCCACGGCCAGTAGTCCACAACGCCACGGCTCGATCAATGGTGGAAGCAGAGGATGTTGTGGGTCCATCAGCTTATGAATTTTCCCAGACTGTGATGGTATGTTCTTATGATCTGTTAAACAGATTGACATCCCGTTTATTAACTAAAAAAAACAGAGGAAAACCCACATGGAGAATATCGAGATGACGACAATGACGCTGCAATGAGAGGAACATCCAGGCAGCTCAGGATGATGGGAGAGGCCAACAGAAATGGATCGACCCATCAACAAAATTGCAACATGCACTCTTGAATCTTCAAGTATTTGTGGGGATCTCTCGATGAACCCACAAAGACTGATGGCAATCGCAGCGGGCAGGGACCCTGCAGCCATGGAGATGTCGCAAAGTCAGTGAGCGAATCCACACAGGTACCTGGCAGTTCCTTCATGTCTACAATGCGTCAGACTGGTACTCCCGCCTTGAAAAATCTCTGGAGAACCGTTGCATTGTGGATGAACGCACCCACAAGACTTTCCTCCACAGGCATAACAGGCACATCAGTCTCGGGAGAGTCCATGAGGGGCTTGAACACAGTCATGTATTCCACAAAGGCCCTAAGTTCCAAGGCCACGCACGTAAGTTTCTGCAAACGTCAAGTGGACGCACTGGAAAGATGTTGGTAGAGCATGAAGTCGCCCCAGAAGCAGCTCAATGACACTAAGATGTCCACACATGCTACTGGGACACAGGTGCGCTGGCATCGACTGAGTTCATCGACTCAATGACGACTTTGCAGGCAGGCTTGAATTTTGAGAAATGTCGAGTAATGCAGACGACCAACTCCCTCCACGAGACTGTCTGGGTCAGCACTCAACAAAATTGTACTTTGTCAAGCCGCGATACAGGGGATGGAAGGGATCAGTTTGGAGAGGCAGGAGCTATCCAGCAGTACGCAAGCCAGATGAGGAAACTGCTCGACATAGGCCTGTGGCCATTGGAGCGGGTCGTCATGGCTGTACTGAAAGTTTTCCCACATGTATACCTCCCGGTTCGCCCCAAGGGGAGGCCTGCAGATGATAGAGGAGTTTGGGGTGACTATGAAGGAGTCGGAACCATCCAAGATGATACCGTTCTTGCTGTCAAAAGGACCCAAGGCTAGCATAGTTGTTAATATATGACCAGTCACAAGCTACGTCAATGAACGTACAAAAAGTGGGATTTGCCTTGTGCAAGAGCAATCTCGGATCCCCGTGAACTTTGGAAGGTGTCCAGTCAACTGGCAGCATGAAGGCAATCCCTGGCAACGTTGAGATAGGCTCGCGAACACAGGTTTGGTGCGAGAACTGCTGGAGAGAGTGAAAAGTAGAAAGGACCAGTGGGTCGCCAGTTGTACGTCGAACGTTGAGGTGAGGCTTCCAGGACGAAATGCGCGCCAACAAAGGACATCAGGCCACAGTGGCAACACCATAAATGTTACCCACCACTCACACAATCCGCCGACAAAGGACATCAAATGAACACGGCGATCCAATTGAATCAACCGCCAAACATACAAACCAATAACAATGACAAAAGAAACAAACGTCATTGATGAAAGATGTCAAACAACATGGGCGACACGTTTGTGTCAACCTGAAGAAGGTGGGTCAAAGTGGAGAAAGAAAACTCACCTGATTACAGTTGAACTTTTTCTTGAGGCTTGAAGGTTGAAGGTTAACGTTGAAACGTTGAAGGCACGCAGTCGAGCGGAGAAGAGAGACGAGTAAGAGGGAAGAGAGATCAGAGGTAAGCACTTAATGAGTGCATCTGATCTGAGCTGACTAAGCTCTCACAGACCACCGGCCACATGTACCGTGGTGCTGTAGGCACTTAACTTGGTGCTGGGGGTTCTCTCGGACTGGTGGCTGTGGCTTACTAAGTGCCACGTCACACTCAGTGACTCATTATGAGTAACGTTTCTCCTAGGCTCTCTTCCACTGGCTTGACCCTCTGGGGTCAGCCAATCCGTTTGACGTCTTTCGTCGGCGGACCATAGGCTTGATGCTACTGTGTCAGCCATGGTGCTTAGCGTCTTTTGCTGGCACCAGATTCCTCCATGCGTCACTCCCTTGGCCTCCCTCCCGATTGCTCCAAGTGCACCCCCTAGGCGGGTATCCATCCAGTGGCGGATGTTTCACAAGTGCAATTTCTTTGACATGTTCCTGTGAGTTTATTAAATAGTCTGTCATTCTCATTTTTTTTAGGCTCATCATACAAGCAGCCGTTGTTTATAAGGGGTTGCCCTTGTCTCTCGCCATCGTCCCCCATACCCATGGGCTCCTCAACCACCAAAGCCTCGAAAAAGACCACGAGCTCCTCCACTTCAAGGCATCAAGCTTCTGCGTCCCAACCAATGTCCCAGCCACTTCAAGGCACCAAGCACAAGAAGAAGAAGAGTACCAAGCGCAAGAGGAATGATGACTCCGATAGCGATGGTGAGCCCAGGGGTAGGAGCCAGACGACCAAGGGTCCATGTATGAAGAAACAACGGACACAACCAGAAGATGACGCACCTCAAAGTGGGGCGCTCGACACTGACCTTTCCACAGGAGAGGGCATTGAAGAATTGGACATCTCCAGTGTACGACCACTTTGATATGCCTCCCATGATAAAGAAGGACGCTGATGGTGAGGTGAAGTACGTCTTCACCTGCAAGAGGTCCGTCAGTCTTTAGCTCTGACAGTTGACATGTATGTGTCGCCGTGTCCATTTGACATCTTTCGTCGATGGTGGTTCGTAGCCTCTGAAAGTGGGTCTGACATCATAATAGGCATGGTACCACCCACACCCATAGTCGCAAAGACAATAGCACCAGCAATCTCAAAGGGCACGCAGGAGAAGTGCGACCTCAAGGCGGCGCAGGAGAGGAACAGGCCCTAGGCAACCCAAGATCGACGAGATCGTGTTGAAGTACACCGATGGCAGGCACAACATCAAGGAGGTATATGAGGTCTCCAAAGAACAGCTCAAGCAAATGCTTAAGGTATGTTCTACTGCATCGCAGAAGACCTGTTCCACTCACGGCCATACAGGAGCATGATGGTCGCTTTCATGTTGTGTTTGACGTGTGGTCGGCGCCAAACCACAACAAATTCTTGGGGATTGTGCTTGTCTGGTGTCGAGACGGGCACATTGAAGTTGTCACCCTGGATCTCATCGAGTAAGTCATTCAGCTTGGTGCCCTTATCTCTACTGATGTTCCCAAAGACTGACAGATGCACACATGGGGAAGTACCTTGCGAAGAAAGTCTTCAAGGTTCTAAGGGAGTATGACCTCCTGGAAGACATTCTTGGGCAAACGGGTGACAATGCAGTCTAACAATGATACGACCTTGGATCACCTAGAGCGCATGTTCAAGGAGCTGAAGAAGACGGTGCTTACAGGCCATCACACTCAGATACAGGTGTTTCGCTCACATTCTCAACTTGATTGTAAAGGTATGTGTCTTGTTCCTGGGACAACATACCATTCTCATCATGTTACAGGCCATTCTGTCTCAATTCGAGGCAAAGCAGCGGGTCAAGCAGGCAAACGACGATCTGGGTGAAGGCCAAGGAGAAGACTCTGATGTGGACGAGGACGAGGATGACGAGGACAATGCGTTGGATGCGGAAGAACGCGAGGCTTTGGAGGACCTTCACAAGGAGCTGGAGGATGAGGAGGACCTGCATGATCGATGAGGAGTCTGATGTGTGACCAGAGGTAGCCAATATGACAGCTGAGGAAGTCAATCTGGGCATGTTGGCACTCACCAAGATATGGCCCTTTCATTGAATACATGGTCCGCTCAGCTTTGACTGACCGCTGGTCAGCTATTGAAGCTCGGTAAACGAATTTTCCATAAGAATTCCCTTCAAGTGTGCCTCAAGATGCTCTGTGAGAGTGAGGGGATTGCCATCCTCCTGATGATTCGCCAGTGTCATCACCCACTGGAACACAACATCTAATGTCATCAATAGAGGCATTCAGTTGCAGGCCAGCTCTCGATGCACTCTGTATTGAACGTGAACAGAACTGAGGGGAAGGCTCCGATGAAGCGATTGAAACTGCTCTCTCCTGTCGGATGAGGAATGGAAGGTGCTCATACAGCTCCAGCCGATTTTGGAGGTATGTGCAGCACAACATTCATTCATTGCATTTGGCTGACCATCATGAGCAGATATTTCTCAAGGGCAACAGAGCGTATCTCCCATTCTGCAGTTCTACTGTTGCATGAGGTCATACCGACCATGGACAGCATCACAAGGAAGCTCGAAAAGTACCTTGAGGATGCAACTCTTTACCCAGCTGTGTGCGCTGGCGTCACGCATGGTCTTGCTATCACTGACAAGTACTACTCAAAAACAGATGAGTCTATCATGTGGAAGACAGCAATGAGTGAGTTCGTGGTGATGTCCTTGAGATTGTCTGTCTGACCTTGTCATAGTTATGCACCCAAGATACAAGCTTAGCTACTTCAAACAGCAGGGGTGGCTGTGCATGAGTGGATCGTGACTGCGGAGGAGTCTGCCTGGGATACATGGACAACATACTACTTGCCTGACAGTGTCCTGAGTTGCCAAACTGCAGAGACAGTGGTAGGTGGTTGACCTCTCAGAAGTTATGAGTGCTGACAAGTTTGTATTTAACAGACAAAGAATGAAGATTTATTTGCCGATATTGATAACTATGGGCGTAGCACTGAAGGAGATGTCTTCGAGGCTTATATCAATGATCCGGCAACAGACTGTGGTGATCCAATTATACATTGGAGTGCGAAGTTGGACAAGCGGGATGCGAAGTCGAAGAAGAAGGTTGTTACACTGATGGGTGCACTCACAAGAATGGCACTCGATTTTTTGTCTGCCTCTGGTATGTCCTTTCGTGTCGGTGACTGATGGTCCTAATAGATGATCATAGCGGCATCAACTGATGTGGAATAAGTTTTCTCTCATGGCGGGCTTGTGCTCAATAAACGCCGGCATAAGCTATCTGCAGAGTCAACACGGGCGAATGTCATACTGAACTCTTGGGGCAAGGTGGAGGGTCTCATACCCAAAAAGGTTCTTGTGAAGAAGTTCAATGAGAAAGCATTGCGGCCAAATAATGGAGGGGGGAAAAAGAAGGCAGTGGTAGAGATCATAGACAGCACTGATGATGAGGGCAATCTGGTAGTAGCGAGGATGATGAGGACAGTGATGAAGACCATGGAGACCATTAGAATTAAATTTTAAAGCAATACTTTGTGTATTATATATGGATTATAGACAGGTATTCGTACAGGTATTCATAAGTACACGCATGTACCCTGGGTGGGTGCAGGTACCTGCCCGTGGATGCAGGTACCCGTGGCAGCGGGTCAGGTCATCCATGCCATGGATGTCGGTGCGGATGATGGGTATGGCTTTTGAGCCACGGGTACCTGCGGTCACGGATACGAATGTACCCGGGTAGGCAATCGTGAAGATCTTTATTTCCAACTCGCATGGATGGGTCTTTTGTCAAGCTGACCAGATCGGTCATAGCTCTTTGACTGTCAACCTTTCAAGGTTGATTGGTCCTGCAGTCTGGGAATCCAGTGCCCCCTATGGCGGAGGTCAGTCTCTCTGTTTTAGTAGGTTGGTTGGCCTTTCCAGACAATTCCTGATGGGCCCTCCAGTTTTCGCATCCTGGAGCCATCCTGTTCCAGAAGGTTCATCTCTAGCATGTTCTTGGTAGATTGTTTGAGATTTTCCTCCAGTCGGACAGTTATCAGGTTGGAGCCAGACTATAGCTGGTTCCTAGAGATTTTTGGTCTGCTGACCGAGAAACTATCCCTTTCCTCTTAGTGGATTCATCACTGTCGATGCATAGCATGTCGTTAGTGATATAGAGCCACAGCTCTCTCGGGTTTGTCGCTTTGGATGCACAACATATCCATCGTGGCCTGGCGGTACGAGGGTTCATTTCTAGGGTGTCCTATGATGAAGGTTCCTGTATAATCACGACAAAAGGGATTTATTGTCCATACAAGTATCTACAAACATATTTTTGAATAAAAATTTTCAAGTAAATGTTTACCTAAGAAATTTGAGTCCTGGTGTACAAGGGCGATTTGTCCTGGTCCATCGTCGACTCCTTTCTTTTTGCTGAAGTGCTAGTGCTGGTTGACCTAGGCAGACTTGCCTAGTCCTTTGTCGATGCCTTCCCCTCAGCACTTGTCATTGAGGGGTCTTGCTCTGCTTCAAGCAGAGTGCCATTGGGACCTGTCAGATGGGCATTTGTTGTCCCGTCTAGTACTGTCCATGGAATCCACAGTGGAGACATCGCTCCCCTACAAATTCCTGCTCCCAGTCTTCTTCTAATGCGGTTCTTGGGCGTCGATAAAATGGCATTGCTGTTGGCTTTTGCCTTTTTATCTTGTGCCATTTCAATTTGTCGGGGAGAACACTTGTTGTGCCGAACAAAATGCCCAGTGTTTCCATATTGGAAGCACCTTCGTTCTCTCTTGAGACTGGTCCATGTCCATTCCTTCATCTGTTTCTTCAGGGCATGACATGCCTCTGTATTGGGAGAGAGAGGGGGCCCTCTTTCCTAGTTCGGGGTCTAGAGATGTGGTCCAAAACACCTTAGATGGTAGGTGTGGTTTGGTCCAGTCTCCTCCCAGTTTCTTTATGTTGAAGATGTCTTCAGTGTTGAAATTCAGCACCAAAGACATGGACGGTTTCGTCCTCGTCAGAGGAGGTGTCGGTGGGGGTATCACTTTCTTCTTCTTCTTCTGGGCCTGTTCGGTATTCTTCCCCAATGATGATAGGGGTTGAAAGTGAGTCCCATAGGTCTTCATTGATGGCTGTTTGGGCCATGGGATTGGGCCATATGGCCTCATATGAGGTGTCTGGCCAGGGGGATTCCCAACCGTCCCCGGCTGTGGAGTGCCAGATGTCATCGGCGGTTGAGGCGGATGACATGGGGGGTAGATCCCAGGATCCCTCTTTGGAGGTGATACAGAAATCCACTGGAAAGATGGTCCCCCAATCCAGTATCCCTTTTTCCTCAGCCACTCCTCTTTCTTTCCTGGCCAGGTTGTGGATTCTGTGTGCAGTTTGGAGAGTGATTCGATGGTACCACTGATATACCTGGCTACAGAGGCAATCAGATCTCCTGGAGGCGACTTCGGATTCGAGCCGGATGATTTCTGTCTTGTAGGAGGAGCCGGTGTCTGGATTCCAACTGGAAACATCTTCCTTAGGATATAACTCCTGTGAGGAAGTGCCTTGTCTGGTGTGGACTCCCCATGCCTCTCCAGAAGTTCTGGTGGGGGAGTAGATCCCCTTGCTGAGCTCTGAGGCATGGAGCATTGGTCCAGCATCTCCAAATGACTCTGGAGATTCATCTCTTCGATATCCTCCTGCGTCCGCTCTTTCCACTGTGGTTTGTCCACCTTCTTGATCAACTCCCCGGTGAAGAGGCTGGCTGTGGGCACCTGTGGAATAGTGAGCGGGCTAAAAGGCGAACCTCAAAAACCCACACACACACTCACACAACTACACAAACTACAATCACCCTCGTAAGTTCTAGGGGGAGCGATTATTTCTAATGCGATCCAACTATACTTCAATATCTCGAAGAGTTTCTCTTATTCTCAGTGCTCTTAGCGAAGCTAAGCTTTCTCTAATGAATTCCTAAGTCTAGGAACTTTTTACAGGAAGGTCGTTCACTGGCACGATGCAACCTTCAAGGCAGATTTGAGTTATAATACACAAGGGACACTGATCCCAACAGAAACAGAGGCAATACATGCCGAAACTTTAGTGAGCTCACTAAAAGAACACCACAGGCAAGCACTGACTTAGCCTGCTCGCTACACAACTGTATGTAGGGGTTCTCCAACTAACTCCAGCAGGTTATCTCGACTCAAGAACACTTCAGAAGCGCTCAGAAACAGATTCAGAAACGGAACTTCGAACAGAACTGACACGGAACAGACTGAAACAGAACAGAACAGAACAGAACAGAACAGAACTCAGATTTCCACTTCAATACATTCTCCGAACAGACTTATCACACTTAACAGAACAGAAACAGCATCACTGATTCGTATTCACTCTGACTAAGTTCTCAAAAGTCTTATCAAAAGGGTATCTCGTATTTCTCTGAGTGAGCTTGCTAATTCTATGCACAGCTCGAAGTCACAAACTGATCCTTTATTACAGTACCGCCTTCAACACGTGCATGGGAACTCAGGGGCTCGAAACTTCACTTCTACCTACTGTAACCAGCCTACTTATACTACAGGGGAATTAGAATTACAAATGTCATGCCGTACCCAGACTCCTACATGCATAGCACATTGCCACTGCTGCCTTACTGAGCATCCGAGCCGGACTTCCCAGTTTTAGTCTCATTTCTATAGTGAGCTCACTAAACGCATGCCAAGAGGTGCTCTCCCAACACCTGCAGGCTTGTTCTCTAGCAACCAACAGGTCTAGGCACCCGGAACTATCAGTCCTGGCATATGTCGTTCAAGACTTCTTTCTTGGATTCACAGAGGCTTCTCATAGGCACGGAAACAAGTGAGTCTTCTAACAATGGGACTCAGAACAATGGGATGCGGGCTCGCGGACTTCAGCCGAAGCCCATTGCCCAAGTTCATGCCAGTGATAGCTGTCATCTCGCTTAAGGATTTCCCCAGATTTTCAGGTACGACGTGTCACAGTTAGCAAGCACGCTAAGTATTCTCAGTGTCACTGCAATCTTCAAAGTGCTATCTAGCTCCCGCGAGCATGCTTGTAAGTTAGAGCCTAAGGCATTGGGTATAGGGTTTGGCCTTCTCATCACGCATGCCCATCAGGTACAGTGCTGTGACTAAGTCCTGTTTAGAATCCCATTGCTTCTTATACCATAAGTTATATTCCATATCATTGCACCACATAGCATTAGTGTCGACATGTAGTTTTAGTCCGCTCGCTCACTATATCTCAGTATGCGTGTAAAACACTTTAGATTGCAAAATTACATGTGTAAATAGGCTGCAGTCGCAACACCAGGCAGGGAGGAAAGGGTTAATGACCCCTTCGAAGGTGGTTCTTCGTCCCTCTGTTTCATGAACGGTGTTTCCATCACACTCCTCCAGAGTTTGTATACTGATGAGTCAGTTGTACTCATCGGTGTAGAACTGTTGGTCATTGGAGGTGACAGAGGTATTGGGATCATCCCAGGATCCCTTGATATCCTTCCAGTATCCAACTGCGAATTGTGGATCTCTGGGGTGTTGGGTCTAGAGGTTGTCTCTGGTGTTGGGGCAAATGGGAGTTGATCCATCTTGTGGTCGTGGATAGGATCGAGTACTGCAATACAAGGGGTGCCTTACTAAGGATGTAAGGGTTTCCAGGATGTGAGTGATGGTAGAGCTTATTGGTTTCATACAGTCACCATCGTTGAACAATGAGGAGAGTATGAAATATTTCTGTAGGGGTGAGCAACCCCGAGGACTCGTCGTATAATGACAAGGGTTCCTTTATTGTAGTGCTCCGGATGCTGCGGTTGTGCTGTTAATGAAAACGACAAAGGCAGCAGAGGTAGAGCCCGTTACTCACCCGCTTCATGGGGGTCGGTGCTCTTAGGAGGTATGGGTCTATACAGTCACCGTCGTATAACAACGGGTATGTATGATAACAGTGTAACCGTTGTTAGGCAGCAAGGGTATAGCAAAGTCAAGCTTTGGCTAATTGTAACGCACTAACTTGGATTGAACAATGTTTGCCTCTAAACTGTCACTCACATTCGGTGATTCAGTTGTGAAGAGGGCGTTGTAATCGCTTGGTCAGAAACAATAGTCCTTAGTCTTGGAAGCAGGGAGTTTCTGCATGAAAAGTTAGGAGTGTATAACTTTAGCTGAAGCTGGGGTGTAAGACCACAGCAAGGCTTGACTAAATACATGGCGGTATTTACTAGTATGTACTGTCCTAATGCATTGCTGTCTTCTGTATCATATGACACTGGTATGGTAGAAGTCCTCCTGTGAATGTCAAGGCTTCAGTCTATGCAGCGCTTAGTATAGGAGAAGCGCTCATGTGAGTAAGAAGACTAGCATCTGTATGGTGCTTGATATGGTAGAAGCACGTTAGTGCATCAGAAGACTAGCACTCATGTGGTGCTATCTTCTGAGGAGTGTACATGGCGTCCTATCCATCCTGGGGTGTGATGGGCCTAAAGTATGACCTGAGCTCGGAGATGGTTGGAGTTCAGTTCCGGACGTGGTAGCACCAGGTTTCTCCCCTTGAGTTGAGCCTTGGAGGGGACCAGTCGTTATGGGGCCCTGGGAGCTCATTGCTGGAATTGTCCTTCTCTGAAGTTCCGTCCTCCTCATCTGAACTGCTTCCAGCTCCATCTTCAGTCATTCCTCTTTCTCCCAAATGGTATCTAAGCCCTCTTTGATAGAGGTGCTCCCCATTGGAATCATATCCAGGGTTGGCGGTGGAGTTCTCGGTCGAGGTAGGGGAGGGGCTACTTCTTTGCCCTTGCCCTTCCTCTTCTTTGGGAATGGTAGAGAGAACATGCTCACCCATGTACCCTTCATGCTCATTGTGTCCTGGCTCTTCTTCAACCGCAGTGACTGAGCTTTCTGGTGTGGCCCATCCTCCCATGTCGGACTCAGAGCCACTGTCTGAGAGGATGATGAAACGGATGGGGAAATCCTTGCTGGATCCGCTGTAGGAAGGGAGTGGTGTGTCTTTGTGTCTATCCTCCGGGATGGAGGTTTCAATGGTGACAGTTTGGGAGACTGGCTCCCAGTTTCTTCGGTATTCGTAGCCATATAGGAATGTGAGATAAGCCAAGGTGATAAAGCTCTGGAGTCCAATAAAATCAGTGATGGTTTGTTCAATAGGATTCATTCGTTTGTCTTCATCAATGTCAACATTGGTGAAGAGTTAGGAAAGTCTCGAACTAATTGTTAGCAACTGATTACACAAACAAGATCAAACAACTAAGCATGACTCGCACTTCGGTCAGGTGCTTATTAGTTGTTCGCAGGTTTATGTGCAGGGAGCTTTCAACTAGTTAATCGAGAGTGAGTTCAGACTAGATTATCGGGTGAATAAACTTTAGTTCAAGACTGAGGTTTAAGACCTGCAGTCGAGATACTTATATACAAGTTTGGGTATTCTAAATATAGTACAAGAGTCTGTAGCAGGTGTGTTGAACACACGGTACCAGCATGGTTCTATGCGATCAGAGTCGGAGTATTAGCATATGAGGATTACAATGAGGTCGATAAGATAAGATAAGATGTGGAATTGTAATACTTACCTATATCTTTAAGGAATTTCTCTAAATATGCATGTTTCTACATCTGGAAGAGCTTCCAATCCCTTATCTTTTTCCTCTTGGTTTAGACAATCAAGCTTCTATCAAGGTCACTGGATCTCACTGTATGATGGTCTCAATAATTGAGTCTGGAAGATTGAATTTGAAAGATATTTATATTAATGATATTTAAGTCTAAAATACAGTAAGAAAACTTTGAATATAGTTTCTATATTTAGGAAAATTGCCTTAAAACTCAAAGAAATCATGAATATTGAAAACATATTTTGACTATTTCTTAGATATTTTAGGTTCTGATGTTGCTAAAAATAAATATCTTTTGATTTCAATATTTTAGCATTAAATATTGAAGCTACCATGCAGTGTCTTATCCATCAACTTCTCAGATGAAGCACATCAACATTCGATATCATTTCATTTGAGAACACCTACACACAGAAAAATTCAGTATACACTGGATTCTGATGCTCAACATGACTGCAGATGTTCTCACCAAGCCTCTTGCTCCCCTTTACACAACAAGCATTGCCTCTATCTGGATCTGATCAAGAGATAAAGACCATTATATGAATGGGGGTGTGTTGGAAGATATGGAGTCTTATTCATATGATTTACTTTCTTTTCTTTCTTGCATATACTACACATGATCACATAGATAGCTTATATACTTCACTTCCTTTTCTTTCTCTCCTCAGTTACTTATCCATTCTAAGCTCTGAGGAGGTTAGTATTTTACTTGTTCTTGCTATTGCACATTTCTCACTATACCTTATAGATTCTTATGTTCATGTCTTTGGTACAAGTATCCTTTCTCTCCTTAACCTGGAATTCCCATATGCATTTGTGTCACTGTAATGAACAAGAAATCTGCTTGAGATTGATAGTGGCTGGAATTGCTGATGAATATAATTCACCCATAGGTATTTGATGAGTCAATGTTTCACATCCAATTCATGTATGATTGTCATTTTTTTGCTCAGCAAAGTTGTAGTATAGTATTGTCATGAAAATTTTACTTGTTGAATAACATAGTCCATCCAACTTAGCTGAAGTGGGCTGCTGCAAGCATGGCAGGTGCATCACAGGGAGCTCATAAGGAGAAATGGCAGCCACTATCAGTTTTCCTGATATGGAAAACAGACATGGGGGTTCAATAGTGATCATATGATCAATGGAGAGCACAGAATATGGTGAGGGTGGGGATAGGATCGTTATTGTTATCACTGGTGATGATAACATTGGGGAGGATAACAGGCCTAATAGCCATAATCCCTCATGTTGAAAATGGGGGATGCATAGAGATGAGGAGTATTTCAGACCTGGGGCAGGTAGTAGGGAGCAATGTTGGTATTGGGCAGGGGTGGCAGCAGCATGGCAATTGGTGTCTCACATTGCTGTTGCATTGTGTGTTGTCTATCACATACCTGAGAAGCAGCATTGACCTAGCCCAGATGGATGTTGCCATCACTGCCTTTGTTGGATGTCAGGGGCCTAATCTTGCTCCTGCCCTTCTCCTCACCAGTTGTGAGGAGTCACTGTTTGGGTATCAGTCATGGTGCTGCCTTCATGTGAGGGCTATGCATGAGATAGTGGTGAAATGGTTGCCATCCATGGCTCTTGAAACCACAGGATGCATCAAAAGTAGGGTTCCCACAGGTAACCCACGAGATGCTGTGAAGCTGACCCATACCCATACCTGCGGACCATACCTGGGATCCCATGTCGGGTTTCGGCACAGGTTCAGAGGTCATGGTGCAGTCACACATTTTTTGATGGCATCCGAAATTGTTTATTTCGATCTAATCAATCATTTACAGGTGATCTATGATGAAAATACCCCTGAAAAAGCCCATGGATCACAGCACAGGTACAGCCACCCACCAGCAAAGGCAACCCGTACCCATACCCACTGGGTAAGGGTCCGGTACCCAGCAAAACCTGCCATACCCTTGGTTTTCTCTAATCAAAAGTAGCTAAAATAGACTAATAAGTACCAGTAACCATGAACTATATCTCTAATACCAATACCAAACTGATTGGTGATGCTGGTGTGGTAGGAGGTATGATAAATCAGATTGAGAGTGCAAAGTCCATACCTGTGAGCATATTTGGCTTTATTATTTGTGAAAGACAACTATTGCTATAAAAGGAGCATTGTTTGTCACTATTGAATTCCAAGGTAAAACTTAAAATGCAGGGTCCTCGATTGAAATGCAGTGCAAAAGAACGAATCCTTGTAAACTCAGACTCATAACGAGCTCAGACTCATACCTGCCATGCTTACAGTGGCCCACTTTGGCTAAGTTTTTTTGCTGTGATGCATGACATTTGAATTTAACAAAATGATACAGTATGTTCATGATGTTCTTGATATATTCACTAGTGTGCCTGTTTACATACCTCCTTCCACTTTGTGGGAGCACTGTACAGATGATCCACCCTATCAACATTTCTCCATGCACTCTAAATAACATTGTAGATAAAGTTACTAGTGATATGCAGCATTCATCCTTGCGCGACGATTACTCCAGGAAACATCTGAGCCTGAGCCTGTGCTTGCGCCTGCGCAGCTTCCAGCAACTTCTTCTTGCGCCCATTGCCCGTACCCACACCTGTAGCTCCCTTCTTCTTCTTCGGCGCAGTAACCTCTCCTCCAGGTGTAGTACTCCCGGTCGCTCCTGCTGTCGTTGTTGCTGTAGCTGTATTTCCTGACGGAGCCGCAGAGCCCGCAGGCTTTGCCTTCTTCTTCGCAGCTGTACCTCCTGTCTTGATGATCTGTCCCAGAGGCCCCATCTTCATCTGGCCCGCTGCTGGTGCTTCGTCCGGTATAACAGTATCTGGAGGTGGTGAACTGGGAGGGGGTGGTGGCGGCGCGGGTATCGGTATCGGAGCGCCTGACGAGTCCGTAAGAAGAGGGTACGAGTTGAGAGTTGGGGGTGGTAGGGGTGGTGGGGCCGACATTGCTGCGATGCGGGTCTGGTAGAAGGGCTTGAGCAATCCGATCTGGTCGTTGACTTTGGCAACGGTGAGAGGAACGAAAGGAGGCGGCGGAGGATAGGGCGGTGGCGGTTCTGAGGGTTTGACACTAAAGGACCGCATCAGTAAATAGAACGTTGAGGCAATAGACAACGTACGCAGCAGACAAAGGTCCTTTTGACCGCTTCTTGCCTTTGAGGAGCCGCTTCGGAATGGTCAGACTTGACATGCCCAACTCTTCCGCAATACCGAGTTCGCGTAGTCCCAGATAATCCATTCCCAAAGATTCTGCAAAGTCGCCTCTAAGAATATAGTCTTGTCAGAGAAGAACAAACGGTAAAATGATAAGATAACACACAAAGCCAGGACACCAGCCTCGTCTTCGTCTTCTTCCTCGAACAGGCCCTCGTCTTCCACAGCTTCGACAGCAGTCTAAAAAATAGTTAGTAAAGAACAAAGCTGCAAAGAAACCGCATACTAACTGCTTCTCGATACGCCCCAACAAGCTTCTTCTCTAGATCATTCAGTCGCGATCCATAACGCTCCACATCGTCAGAAATGTATCGTTCGAGGTCTTGGACTCGCGTCACGCCACTCTCAAACAGGGTATGCAGTATGATTTCCTTAGGATCCGTTCAACAAAATGTATACGCTTCAGCACAGTATATGCGCTCACCTCTGCAGTCATCGTATTTGAATACTTGTCTGACAAAAATCTGATAGTGCGCCCAACATTCAACAGATAATCCGAGGTGACCCCAGCAAGGACGTCCAAAGCCGACTGTGATGTTCCTAGAGTTGATATCACTTGAGCTGCATATCAAAACTAATCGAGACACGAGCGTACCTTGAAACCCAGAATGCTCCAAAACCTTCTTGCTCATCCACTGTAAACAATCCGTGCTGTTCTTCTCACCAATATCCTCTATTCTCACCCTTGTCTTCCCCAGACTCCACGGCCGTCCATCAACATCCACTACTGCTGCTTCTTCATCAGGTATCACCACGCCTCCAGGCGGCTCTCCCAACGATGAATCGCTATCCTCGGTGCCTGTTCCTCCCAGCGCTGAAAACTTGGCATGGGTATGCCTCACTCTTCTCATCGTCCGTATGTTGTTGTTCATGAGCGTCAATAACGACTTGGGATTCGGCCTCAGAGGCTCTGGCTGTTTCCGTCGTTTCTTGCGTTTCGGAAGTGGAGATTTGGGTGGTCGGGGCTGTGGAACGCCAGGCAGACCATTCGGAAGTAGTAGATCGGATTGTGCTGCCGTCCACCACATCTGTGTAATGTCGTCGCTTTCGGAGGGAAGGGGGATCGGATATTGAGGTGCCACTCGTGCCCGTTTGCGTGGGCGAGTAATCTGCCCATTCAGCTTACGCTTCTCGCCTGTTCCAGCCTCTGTCTTCACTTCAACAGAATCCTCCTCGTCGCTCTGATAGTCTGGTGCAAACACGCGAAGCTCGTCGCGTGGGGGAGAGTCATGGTTTAATTTTGCGAACAGCGACATACCGTGCTGTGTCCGGATCAGCGCAGGAGAGTCAGCAAAAGGGAGATCTCGTCGCTGTAGAGGCATAGCTGTAGGCTTGACAATGGCCTTGGCGAGAGGGCCTGAGCTCGACGACCGGTGATGCACCATGCCTGGTCTTGAGTATCCGTTGACCCCGTTCAGTTTAGGTCCCTGTAGTGCAGCAGGAATGACAGGATCGGCACGTTCCTTGCGATCCGTGATATTTCGCAGCAACTTCTCTGCTTTGCCTTTAAGCCGATTGACGCAATGCCGTAGTGGATGATTCTAACGCGCTGTCAGAGCGAAACAACAAGGAAATTGTAGGATACGCACGTCTCCATTATAAGTATAGCAATTTGTCCATATCAAGTCCAAATCGTCCTGGAATTCGCGTTTCGACTTGTAACTCTTCGCCTTGACTTTCCTAGCCATTGTCTGGAAGTCCATGGGATTTTGAATTACTGTGGAAAGTCAGCAAACAACAAACGGAACGCATCGACACGTACTGGTATGATAATCCGGAGCTTCCGTCTTGGAAACTGGTTTGAGGAAAGCCTCCGCATCGTGATTATCCTGTTGAACCGGCGGCTAAAGCGGAGCGCGTTACATCATTGAAACGTGACATACTATAGTGACTGTCCGCAAGTCGGCAAGTAAACCATCGAGGGAATCGTAGAATGGATCTGATAATTTGTCTCCGGAGTGCTGAAAGACGATTACTGGACTGGGATTGAAGCAAGATAACGCGACGTACCCTGCCTTCCTTGACCGTCGTCAACAGCAATTTAAGGTCGGTATTAGGGAACGCCTCTTTGACATGACTCTCCGTAAGTGTCCTCAGGAGATTCTACGCATACAGCGGTAAGAAACGCGATAAAAATACAGAGTAACATAGACGCACATTCATGATGGTGGTCGGAAGACAAGCCGAGTCGATCAGGTCGGAGTTTGAAATTGGACTATAAGAACCCGACCTGTTTTTGTTTGACCAAAAATGCCCCCAGATGTAACAAAGAAATTATATTACGGTAATTATTTAGGTATCCCGCCGACATACCAGCGGCGTCTGTACAAGTACAAGATGTGCTGTAACTGGTTGTAACATATAGTATCGATATGCATTCATTCGCTCGTTCATTCATTCATTCGTCATTTCATTGACTCGCCGCCTTCTCCATCGCTTTCCGAATAGGATTCTGGCTCTTTGGCAACGCACCGCTCTTCTCCAGTCTGTCGAACAGCACGAACAGCTTCTCCATCTCCTGTTCCTTTTCTTCTTCAGTCATATCAGGCAGGTCCGGCTTCTCCATCGTGTTGCCCGTAATCGGGTTGATGACCTTGCCATCAGGCGCGACAGGTTCAGTAGATGAAGAGGGATCCTCACCACCAGGCGGTGGAGGAGCAGACATGATACCCTTGTTAAACAAGAAGCCAGCAACGTTGCCATATCCGACAAGGCTTGACAATATCCGCGCGTCCGAGTCGGACATTGCAAACAGCATCTCTCCCACAGAGTCCTTCAGCCGCGGGTGATATACGCTGCCCATGAGTCGTAAACAGCGACCAAGCATATCTGACCGTCCCTCCAACGGCGCCGACCTATCCAAATCTGGTGGTACAATCCATTCGCGAAGCCGTCCTCGCGAAGTCGCATCTGCGAGGCATAGACGTGTAATAAGCACAATTAGTGGTGAAATAATGTCATCAAGGGACCCGTCCAGCTGCTCCTTCTTCGGGCGCTCGCGTACAGAGGAGTCATCAGGGTCGATGGACCCGGGAAAATAGTGTGAAAAAGAGACTTCGAGGAGGTCGTGGGCACGTAGGAGAATGTCTTGTGGAGTAGCTGTATTTGGTGATGGGCTCCGTGATAAAGATCTACGCCCCGCAACAGACAGCACCGATAGAGCCCGGTCCAATGTACTCGACTTAGGAGGAGTCTGAGAGAGCACTGGTGAATCGCCGCCACTACTGGTAGACATTTTGGGGCTACTACTATTCGACGAACTGCGGCGCTCTGGGGTCGAGGGACCAAGCCATATGAGCTTGAGAGAGGACGAGATGGGTATCGTGATAAGGGCATGGATAACGTGGGTTAATGGCGAAACCAAAGGGCTGGGGAACGTCGGTGGCAACGAGTAGAATGTTCGTAGTAGAGATGGTAGCAACCCGTCAAGATTGGGACTCCAAAAATCGCCCATGGCTTTCTGACCATCGCCTGCTTGGGGAGTCTGCGGCTCAGCATCGACCATCTGCCAACCATCAGCCTCTCCGCAGTCACGACAAGAAATCTCGCAGCGCACCTTTGGGTAATGCAGCAACAGATTGAACGTGAACTTGAGCAGATCCGCCATGGCCTCACGTCCAAGCTTGGTGCCAGCCTGTATAGCGACAAGCATGGCATCAAGCTTGCTGGCAATGATATCGACGATGCCTCTCCGTTTATGGTTGTGGTCTTCGACGAGCGAAACGATCCAAGACGGACCCGGCACTGTCGCCAAGAAGAGTATCCGCGACAGAATGAAGACTTGGTCCGGCGTCGTCGATTTCTACGCAAACTGAGCGGGAGCGAAGAAGAAAGCGAGGAAGGACTCACATCAAGCATGCCGACACAAGTCTCGCCACCCCCAACGTCTTTACCAATAAAAGTACCCCTGGCATGCTCAAACAAAAGCATAGTATTCGCTATGCACCTTAACGCCTCACTGGAAGCTTCTGGATCGTCCTTGAGTGAAATTGATAGGCCCAGGAGCGCGCTCAGCGTTGATGCAGTGGCGAGTGTCTCGGATCCTGATGGGTTCTTGCCAAGGGTCTTCACAGCAAGTAAGGCTTGAGCAGCGTCTTACGAGAGATAAGCTAGGAAGAATGAACAGAGAACGGACGCCGCACCTTTGGACGATAATCTCCCATTGCTGGTGCCATGTTTGGAAGTGGTTTTGAGGTCGCGTAGAATGGTATCGATAAGAGTTTTACGGGTATCATTGTTAAACGTGAAAGGCGGCGCTGGAAGCAGAAGAAGAGAACCGTAAGATTTGTGAATCTCGGATAGAACGACCGACCGGAGTATACCGTTAATTATGCTCTGTAGCACAACAGTTCGCGACGACAAGGAAGAGAGCGCGGTATACGACTCGAGCAAGTCGACGCCCGACATCCACCGCAAAAAGTTAATAGCAAGCGAGCAGGACGCAGGCGACGGCGACAAAGGTAAGCAAGCAAGGTGAAAGGAAAAGGAAGGGTTCTGCTGTATCCGTTGCCGTTGCCATGCCTGTCAACCCGTTTTTCACTCCGCTCAGGAAATTTCAATTTCAGTGCCTGACTCGGTGCATTGACCGTTCGCGGCTGACGTTGCTCGATTATCACGACAATACTACCTGGATGGCAGCGGGGACAACGACAATGGTGACGACGACCGCGAACGACGACGACCGCAGCGATAACAGTGATTGCAGCGGCGACATTCACGCACACATTTACTATCACAGTCATCTCATTTTACACTCGGCCTCCGACAGCTCCTGGCGCTCAACGTTTCAGCAGACAGCCGGCATGAAGTTTTCCAACATGTCTAGTAGTGGTATTGGCATTGCCTGGACCTCAAGCTCAAGGCTCCTGTGGGGCGCTATCCTACAACATTCTCCCACTCACTAATCGCCAAGTCAATCGCCACCATCAGCTCAGTGACAATCGGATGGTGTTTCGGGACCGCCTTTACAACCTGAAACGAATCCTGCGAGTACTCGGACGGCATAGAAAAGAACGAGGCGGCGAGCGAATTGGACTTGTACGTCTTTGGTTCATCGTCGACGAGCGTGGTGCCCTCCAGAGCAGAGAGACTGTCGGCCGAAATGGATGTCGACGGCGATACTTCTTCAATTGTAGCGGCAAGCTTAGGAATAAAGAGTGTCTGGGTGTAGATGGCACGTCGTTTCAGGCTGTAGGGTATCTGGCTTCGGCGCTGAATGTCCTCAGACCTCCCGACAGAGTGTCGACTCGGCGAGCTGGTGGGATGCAAGCTGGATAGGCTGGCTGATTTCGTGTGCAAGGCGGTAGGCTGGGGGTATGCAGGTTTGATACTATTTTTACTAGGAAGACGAGCTTGGCGATTTGCTGGCGGCGGCGGTTTCGAGTTTTCGTTGTAAAAACGACCACGATTGGGCTGCATCTGCCTGCCTCCTCTCCCAGCTCTCATGTTCCTCGCTGTCGCCTCAGCATTGGCAGATCTCAACTTTACTCGCGCATTGGCCAAAGGTGTGATCTCTTTGAACATTGGAGACGGCGCTCTCCTGTGCACATCGCGCAACGGAACGACCTCGAAGCGATGCGGAGTCTTATCTCGAACGGCGATTCGCGTCTTCATCGTCAATCTACGAGCGTCCGGTGACGGTACCACTAATTGAGGCCTCTTTGGCGGTGGCAGCTCGACAATGGACGGAATACGCGCAGATGGTCGCTCGCGCATCGCATGGAGCAGAGCGTCGCCGAATTCAGGAGAGACGGTCCATTTACCATTGGCGTTTGTTGTTCGTATAGGGAGAACTGAGCGTGTTGAGCGAGGGAATACAAAATTGGCGTCGAGCGAGGGCGTAGGCATGGTTGAAGACAGAAACAGAGAAACGATCACGATCTCATTAGAAAATAACTACGATTTCTATCCTACAATAGGCGGTCTTATTGGAGCACTGCCCTTTTCTAACGCCGTCCGTAAACTGGAAAAATTCAGCAATAACATCGAGCCGAATAACGTTCTACGCACCTGTAATCATCTCCGTTCTGTGTTATATACCTCACCCAAGGCAACGCCTGGTACCCGCTCTTCTCAACAATCTTCAGATACCGCACTTGAATACCGCTAACTGTAAAGTAGGGTATTTCGAACTTGACCGTGATAGGCGCGCGTTTCTCCGGCTCTTGCTCTATAAGACTCTTAGCTGCCGGAGATACAATCCAAGCAAACTGTAGCTCACCGCTCTTTACACTAGGCAAACCGAAATGAGCCCTCATCAAGAATTCCCTTCCTCCTCCAAGCTGTTTTATTTTCCAGACAAAGGCACTCTTGTCAGGAGCATACTGCACCGAACCCGTCGACGCCTATCCAAAACATCAGCAGTACGCCCAGCGAAAAGATTCGACAAACGCACTCTAAACTTGGGGCTGTCTGCATCATCCGGTACCGGCACATAAATCTCAACATTGCTCGCCGTGCTCCGTCTCTTGAACTGTGCAAGCACCTTGACCACATACTCCACCCGGCTACCCTTGTGACTCTCCACCGCCGCTTCGACCCAAACGAGGGGCTTAACCGGCGTACTCAATCGGTAACTCATCAGCTCAAACTCTCCATCTGGCGGGATAAACGAAATCGTCCGATCATTCTCGAACCGCGATAGCCGTACACACTGGTGGAACTTAACGTCTTCCATCTCAATGGCCTTTCCGCGGGCAGCTACGAACCGCAGTCAAGGAAGAGCCGGAAGAATACACAGTCGTAGACTCACTCCTCCCTGTACTTTCGAACATAACCTTGTCGTTCAGCCCCAGCCGCAGTTCAGGCATTCCACTGAGGTAGCATTTCATCTTGACTGCACCCAGAATCTCTGACCTTACGACATTTCCATTGGCGTTGACCTGCCAGACGTGAGATAGGCATAGAAGAGTTGCAATAGACACGTACCAGCAGATTGACGCTCTCGATAACATCCAAAAACACCTCATTCTTCCTGTACCTAATTCCCTCTGTACGCCATGACACCGCGTTCGTCACCGCTATCGGTGGCCTTACTTGAACTTCGAGTTTATGCGATTCCTGTGTGATGTATCTAAAACATAACGTGTCAGTAAGCACCAAGATAGACCAAGCCAACACAATGAACCGGCCAAACTGAAGACTCACTCCTGCAGAATTTTGCTTTCTGTCGTCTGCGGATACCCAAAATCCATCATCTCGTCCATCAACTCATATATAATCACGAAATTATCTCTAATACTCTCCTCCTCGAGCTCCTTGAAGTACTCGACGAGGACCTGCGTCAGCCGGTGGAGGAAGATGACCGTCTCTGCCGCGTTGATATTCCGTTTCGATAGGGCCAACACTAGCAAGCAACATCAGCTAACATCAACAACAACCCACTCCAGCACTCACAGTATAGATTGCTGAACCGGACATGCACGTAATTGACGCCCTCCTTTGAGAAACACGGTGTCACTTGCTGACCCTCCTCCTCAATCTCCAGGATGTACGGAAGAAATTTCTCCACGTATGACGCCGGCACATCGTCCCTGTATGACCGCTGGATGAGCGGCTTGCCCTTGAGGTCGAGTATCGCAATGAGGGATGTCATCGCGAACTGCCGCGACGTTGGTGGTGGATGGAGAGAGAAATGGTTATGTTGCCAAAAGTGGAAATCACCGCCTTCATGAACACGTCGAACGCTTTTTGAACCAGAAAAGCAGGGAAATAGATGGGGCCAACGGTACAAGACTTCCTCTTTTTGCAATCTTGGATAAATTCTCACATCACTCTAGCTTGACTCTATCCTGGCACCTACTTAATGCGCGACACGTCGTGTCACCCGTTTTCGCTGACGACATGCCACTGACTCAAGATGTTGCTCCTAAGCCTACATGATTTTATCATTCCAGATCATACGCTTATTCTTTTTGTAAATAGAGATTCCAAGACGAAAATCAATGAACAGCGAATCTCGAGCGAAAAAAGAAAAGCAGAAATTCTTGTCTGTTAAGTATCATATTGCTCAAACGCTATCCCTAGGGAAAAATCAGTAAGCCAGGTATTGGCATACTTTCCCGTTTGGCAGTCGAAAGGGCCGAACTGATTCCTTTCGCCATCCAGCGTCCATGACTCATATACTACGGAACGACCCTCACAATCACCGAAATCATACATCGCTGCGTCGTTTTTCTTGTTCTTCACTTGAAGCACATTCATGAACTCCACCATCACCGGCTCCATATTGCGCCAAGCTGACCAGACGGTTTAATACTTACGTGACCTATAACCACTCGGAAAAACATACCTCGCTCAGTCAATGGCCTGGACTGCGCCACAAGCTTATGTGCTGCGATTTTCCTCCAGGGTACCCTATAGATTAGGTCTTCCCACCCAAGCGCCTTGAGCCTCTCAATAACACTGACACAGAAGGAATGATCATTAGTTTCAACAGAAATGGAACTTCAACTCAGACTTACTCCTGTAGTCGATCTCGACGAATTTTCCTAAGCTCGCGTTTGCGTTCATTCAGTCTCTGTGCCAGCCAAGTGTCACACGCTTCTCCATGCTGTAGCTCGACAATCAAAAAGGGATGCACTCTACAGCACTGGGCCATGCGCACCGTACGAATAGCACCAAAGGAAGAGTTTTTCTTGTGACACCAGTCATGGAAGTTGGTCTCGTCGTTAAGCACATCTTTGACTTCTTCATTGAGTAACACCACGGAGGGAACGTAGTAGTAAGTCGTGTCGTCTGAAAAACTATTAGTTGAAACGAGCAACCGCTGCATACTGTCGGACGCGCCACATCGAACAAATGGGATGATCCACGACATCCTCATGGATTGTCGGTCCAGTGTAGGGCTGAAACTTAATAATACCACACCATAAACATCCAATTCAAAAGCGAAACGAAGAAAAACATACATCTCTGTGTTTTGTACACAATCCTTGCAGCAACGCGTGCGTAAGACCCATTGAACAAGACTCGTCGTACGTAGACAGAACTAAAATATTAAAATGAAGGCCACATTTGCTGAGCATAAGCATACCGACGAACCTGACAGTACTTATCGAAAAGTAAACTGGCATAACGAGGTTCCGACAAGTCAACAGGGAGATCAGGAAGGTCCTCCAAGCTCTGGCGAGCACGCCTCCAGACGTCAAGCGAGTTGCGATCCAGAAGAACAGAACGGAGAAATTTGTTTGTGCGACACAGATGGAGGAGATCTCGCGGTTCTAGACGACTGAAAATCTATTGGCGGTCGATATCAACAGCCAACCGAACTTGCAGCAATGTAGTACTCACCTCTAGAAGAACGTCCAACGGGGTCTCTGACACGCGTTCTAGTAGCCCTTTGATTCGACGTCGTTTCTTGGCCTTGAGTACGACACCAGAGGTGCTCGGTGGTCGTTTTGGAGGCATGTTCGAGCGCAATACCACTATTGAAGGAGTGCGAGTTAAAGAGAATGTGAATGTCGAGAGAAGACAGGTCGCGGCGGTTTATGTAGGATTCTGGACACGAACGGGGCCGTTGATCGGCAGCCGACGATCGGTATACAAATTTAAGTAGAATCCGATACGTAGACTACAGGGGGACTTGTTATATGCAGTGCAGGAAACTTAGTAGCCGGTGGTGTGTACAATGCAGATGGCCGATAGTCCGTATACTTTCAATCACCTACCTGTGTGCCATTATAGCTCACTTCTGTTTATGCACTTACGGTCGACAAATGCTTACCGGTGATTGTCGTTCGCAGTTTGTAAATTACAGCGTGCTGAAAGATCAGAAAGGACCGTGGGAACTTGAAGCGGTCTGTTGTCCTTCTCGGTCATGGGCAACAAGTTGCCATTGGCAGTAAACCAGAATGTGTATATTCATTCGATCTGAGCATGGATTATACATATAGAGTTGACAACTTGGAACACGTCGAAAAAATAGTGACAGCAAGTCCGAACTAGAACGGATGCTGAGATCAAGGACCGCAATTCCCCTTTATAATACAAACTACCACAAAGGCTCTTCGTCAGAGAGCTTCCCTGTGTCCGGGTCAAAAGGCCCGAACATGTTCTTTTCGCCATCCAGCGTCCACGATTCATAACCCAGATACTTCCCAGCAGTATCGGTGGATTTCATTATCATGACACCTTTTTTGTTCCTCTGCTGAAGCTCCTCCATGAAATCTACCATCGCCGGTTCCATACTGCACCAACCTGTGAACAACAAACGATTCAGACATACATCGCATCGGATAACAGACTCAATGGCAGTATGCATACTTCGATCAGTCAACGGCCTGGAATACGCCACGAGTTTGTGGGATGCGATCTTCTTGCGGGATATCCTGTTAATTAGGTATTCCCACCCGAGATCCTTGAGCTTTGCAATCACACTGGTACCAAAGAAACATGTTTTGAGGAATGAAATCATTGGGCATGCTATCCGGACGTACTCGTCTACTCTCTTTTGACGAATCCTGCCAAGTTCGACTTTATGTGCCCAGGATCTCACAGCTAGCCACGTTTCGCACTGTTCGCCAAGCTGTGATAATTCAATCAGTCAAGCGTTCTCAAGTTCAAGCTGAAACGAGGCCGTCCGCACCTGCTCAATCGCGTTCAAGGAAGCCCTTTTATCTTCATACCAGTCTTCAAAGTTATTCCCTTCGTCTGACAGGGTTTTGACTTCCTGCATCAAAGTAATCATAGAGGGAACATGATAGTGATCCCTAGAGTCAGCACCTAACCAAATTAACGTCGTAGCCAAAAAGGAAAGTAGCGAGAAGTAACCAGAGAAGTATGATGGAATTATGTTTTTCACTTTGATCAATTCCTGAGGTATCGTTGGAGTAAAGCTAGATGTATTGGTTAGTTCATGCAGAAACGGACTGCGAAGACCTACATGTCAATATTTTTGAGGCAATCGTCGCAGCATCGAATTCGGGCCGACCATTGAACGTAATTTGTCTTAGCAGGTGCTAAACAAAGCTAGTACGGGTATACCAATGAGCGTGAAATTAACTAAAGAGTGCCCATTGATGTACCTGGCAGTGTTTGTCGAACAGTAAACTTGCATAACGAGGTTCCGATAAATCATCTAGAATAGCAGGGAGATTCTCCAAGTTTCGACGAGCACTTTTCCAGACAAAAAGCGCAGAACGGTCAAGAAGAACAGCGCGAAGAGACTTGCTTGTGCGACACAGGTGAAGGAGATCACGGGGGTCCAAATGGCTGAAAATCTATTCTCCTTTATAGAAAATACACCCGAAATGTATGGCATCCGACTCACCTCAAGGAGAATATCCAAAGGTATATCAGACATTCGTTGGAGCCTCCCTTTCAATTGGAGACGCCTGGTAGCACTGGGTTTCATAGCAGTGTTACAGGCATTGGGCTGTCCTTGGTTTGGCATGTTCATAGTTACGCGAAGAGGTGGAGATAGGGCCGACCATTGGCTACGTGTTTAAGTGCCGGTGCTTTAACTTACGTGATTACTCTCGTTGACCGTGGATCTCATTTAGAAGCGGAAGCCTAGGCAGGAGTGGACCCCCAATTCCAGTGTCCAGTCCAACTCCATTTCCTAGCAGGCCGATTTCTTCGCCTTGGTTTGATTCATTTTCCAGTCAGACAAGTTGTGCGCCAGCTAAAGGGATTTATGTAACGAAGAGTCAGCACAAGATGAAATGTCAGTGAAAGGCCGGGCGAAACATACCATGACGTCGGCAATATATAAGGCCGTACGACCAGCCAAGAGCCTTTCACCGCGCTGACAAAAGTAGGTAGGAAAGTGATTTGCTGGATGCTCGCTGGCGATGTTCTGTGGTCTCGAAGAGGTCCGTGTTCTTCATCTCGGTGCTGTCCCGCTCGACTTCATGAATACCAGATTTCCTGGTCCCTGTCGCCAGAATGCCAGAGACTCGGAGACTCGGAATCGCGCGGTGGCGTGGTAATGGCCCCAGGTGAAAGTCCGAAAACGGGGATCACCGCCTCGCTCGGATCATAGTTGAGAAGCCGGTTCAAAGCACAAAAGGATTTGACAACGATATCGGTTTTCAGACTGTTCAGTTGACCAGAGAATGCCTTAAGGAAGATGGAGACATTAAAGTGTGTAAACACATTTGTCACATTGCCGTTGACCGTAAGCCTATGTAGAGGAGGAGTACTGTGCAATGTTAATAACTGTTATTACTAATTATTGTTAAACTTATTACCTACGACGATCCCTCTTAATGTTCAAAATCAGAAATGTCGATGAATACCTAAACTTATTCGGGACCTTCCGTAGCGCCCCTTAGCGAAGCGGTACCGTGCCCGCAATGTCGGATACTCCGCTGGTGGAACTGAACGGCACATATAACTTCGTAAGGGCGGTGGTTTGGGTTAGACCACAATGAGATGCTTTGTCTAGATTCTGTAGGATTCTGTCTATCAGATCTTAGATTTCCCGAAGCTCCAGTTTGATGACTTCACTGATAAACAAATAAGATTATAGAGGAACGGAAGTGTATCCACAACCCACTGATCAATCTCTCTGACGGGTGTTCAGGATCTCTGCTCAAGCTATATTTTGCATTCAGTCGGGTACTATGATATCAAAACGTCAAACATCGGGTCCAATAGCTGATTTTGAATGGCGCACCTTTTACGTAGAGAACAAGAATATTTCTCCCTGTCATACCAATTCTGTTCTCGTCGGGAAAATGTCCGACTTGACGTTCTGAAGACCTGTTGTATTGGGTGCGAGCAGCTAATCGAACGAGGTGTGGGGGGTCTAGATAGTGCTTGGAGATGTAACTAAATAGCTGGAGTATATATGACAACTTGGCAGCGTTTGTCAGGCAAAAACTCCGGGTTCCGGCGGGTGGGTCAAGATATTTGGGGGACCCGTTATCAGCGAACTATTGTCCAAGCGGAGCGAGGAATCGTCAAGATGGATAGCATGGCACCAAGAGTGCAGCACAAATGGATAGGTCGAGGTGGTTGAAGACCTAGGCCGTCATTAGAAAAATATCCCGAGGCGGCATGGTAGCACTCACCTCAATATCCCCAATGAGAAGCATCTCAGACACCCGTTCTAACAGCCCTTTCGACGGTCGTCTGCTGTTCTTGAGCTTCGACTTTCCGAGCTTCCAGGAGCGTTCTGCGGTCGCCGCTGGGGCAGTACGCGAAACACAAGTCCTTGCGCAACTTTACCAGTAGCTACGGCGAGAGGGAGGACTGAGGGGGGGGATGTTGTTGGCCGTCAGATGGACCATCCTGCTTTATATTTTTTCACGAGGCCAGTGGGTTAGCAGGTCGCAGGGGTTGGTCCTCAAATACGCAATGAAATTTTAATGAGAGGCGAAGTCAAGGAATGACAGACATACCGGCATCCCAACACGCTCCAACGACGGCGCCCGCCCTTGGTACCTAATCTTTATCTGCTAGACATTGAGGAGGCGGGTGCCATTCTGTCATCCGTGATGTTCTCCACGCTGATTTTTACTGGACTTCTGGGGGGTAGCTTTGCTGTCGCGATACTTAGCAGAGTCCAAGAATGGGAATCGCCGCCGTACGCTCGGACCACTATTTATTCAAAATACACCTAACAAGCAGCCGTAAACAGTATCAGAGCCACCCCTCAACATCCACCGCATTTGTAGTCAGAAAACGAGGAAGGGGAATTGAGCGACGCATGTACTCAGCAGCCGTCGCCTTGATCACAAGGTCTCTCTCGAGCGCATCAACGTCGGCGCACTTTACGAACATCTCTGCAGCGTGCAACGTGCGAACGGCTTCTCTGAACCAGACTCGGCAAGTAAATCTGGGTTCCCTGGCACGGTCAGTATCCGGGGTGCTCATGGGTATGCTGCTCAAGAAATAATCGAGGTATGAGTAGTCCCAATCGTCTGGGATCCGCCCGATCTTGGTAAAAGTGACTGGCATGCTGTCCTCGGACTGGGGATTCACCCAAAGTACGCATTCATACTGCCATGGCGCGGTGCCGATCTTGTTGGTGGCGTGGAATTTGTAGCCCGTTGAAGAGTCCTGGAGATTATTGGCTCGTTAGCTAACGTATACAAACTGGTTACGGATACTTGCCACCACAAGATATAGGCTCCAATGAAATGCACCGACCATATTGGTTGAAGTCAGTACGGCATATATATCGTTTTTCCGCCTGTGTTAAAGCACATTCAGCGGGATTTGTACAGGAGACGAACGACATTTACATAGAGGTTGTCATGCTTGAGCTAATGGAGAAAGAGGTGATAAGAGGTGTGTGCCTTCAACACAACGAATATAACGCACAGGGCTCGTGACTATAAAACTTATTGATACACGAGGAGTTTCTCAGTCCGCGGTTATACCTCGAAGGGAGACTAAGAAGTAGGGTAGGATATTCTGGGGTTGATTCGGGAGAAACGTTGCATAAACAAATATCCGCAAGAATGTCCAAGTACGAGTAATGATAATATATCTTGATAAAATCGCAGAGCTTGTCAGATTAACCATGGGCCAAGGAGGTAAGCAAACAGAAAACCTATCAACATCACCCCGAAGAGTTCCCATCCTCGACTAATCCCTGGCTCTCCCATCGCAATTGCTTCCTTCAGCGCTTCTTCTATCGACAGAGCCATCGCGTCCATGCTAAAAACATGCCTCGCTCGGTCCTTCGCTCTCTCCGAAATAGCGTTCCTATCTGCCTCACCCATGCTGTTGATCTCCTTTAGGACTTCGGCCCACAAATCAGCTTGAGGGGCCCGTAGCCAACCTGTACGCTGATCTGTCGGTCCATCCACAACACTTTCGACGGGCCCTCCACTATCACACGCTAATACTGGCAAACCGCAAATCATGGCTTCGACAGGAACGATGCCAAAGTGCTCATTTGTCGGTGTATAGAGCAGAGCTTTGGTCGACGAACTCTTCAGCAGCCAGGAACGTTGGGCGGTAGTGAAGTTGAGCAGGAACAGAACGTCAGGGCTATCGCGAGTAGTATTGAGAGGGGGGATTTTGACAGCATTGGGGGTAGAGGGGGTGATCACATCATATTTCAAGTCGTGTTTCTTCGCCAGGTCGATCAACGAATACAGGGTGAGCATGTTGTCTTCAAGCCGGGGATCATATCCTCCGGCAATAATAAGACGCGTCCTGCGCGCAAGGTTGGGTAGGGCCTGAGCAAAAGATTCAATGGCTAACGCTGCATTTTTCTTCTTCTCAAATCGATTTAAAGAGATAAAGGAAGAACAGTCGCTGAATGATAGTCAGAACAAGTCAGGCAGCAGAAGATAGTGCCTCACGAAGCTATAGAAATAACATCAGGATCCGAGGTATCAACCGCAGCCTCATACGCAGCAATGTTGATACCTGGATACACTATCCTTGGGGTCTCGGATATAGAGGGAAAATACGACTTGAATACGCGCGCAGTAAATCGAGAGTTGGCCAATATTATGTCTGCTTGACCTATAGGAAACGTAAGCAAAGGTATCAAAGGTAGGCATGAACGCACGAGTTGATATTTCCTCCCACCAATCCATGGGAAAACGGTAAATCCTCTTCAACAGACTTCCCTGTTTCCGCATCGCTGATCCTTCGATGAACGCGCCATTCGCGAGCAGCTTATCCGGAAAATGACAGTAGAATACGACTCTAGTTTTGCCCAGCATGCGAAGGAAGGGTATACACGTTGATAGTTGGTCGACAAAGAATACGTCATACTTTTTGGATGAGAATAAGAGAATATGTGCCGTAAGGTGCAGTTGCCTAGCATGTGCGAAGAGGATATGGAACTTTCCCTTGAAGGCACGGGGAACCGGAGGTTTAACGTTGAACACGGAGAGGCTTCCTGATGAATTGAGAGAAGAATCACGAGGAAAGTCCAAGGTTGCTCACCATCTTTGGTTTCCTCAAAGCAGTGACTGGGGTCGTGGTGAGACGTGTAAATGTCGACGGAATGGCCCAGCTCCTGCAATCCAAGCGCAGCATCTACGACGAGACGTTCTGCACCGCCTACAAAGAAGTGAGTTGGAAATAAAGATCAATAGATGCCAGGGCATACCGATTCCGAGATCTGGATGGAGGAAAGCTATTCTCATGGTCGTGGAAGGAGAGGTAGAAATGGAGAAATTTGAAATTGAATGGACACGACTGAGCGTGACTGTGACCTCACGCGCCAAACGTGACATCCAACGCGTCCGTGCCGCTGTCTGACTAACATCGTCTTCGTACCTACTACTAGCAATGAGCTCGACAAAGACGTCCAAGACGTCCAAGACGCAAAAGCCAGCTGGGGTAGATATTAGGGCCTTCATGACTGGTTCGTCCAACAGCCAAGGCAAAGTTCCTGGTTCATCTGTAAGTGGCAGTCGTTTTATCCCAAGCCTGTAGATCGAAAATACGCGCAGCAACCGGCAGCCTCAGGCTCGTCGCAGGCAAAGAAGAGCTCAAGTCAAACGGCGGGTATGAAATCTTGCCTGAAGGCAGTTATCTGCAGCTTATCAGGTCAGCATAGGTTCGCCGAGCCTGAAGCGCAAGACAGCGGTGCTTTCCAGCGACGACGACGAGGATCCGAAAAAGTCTCCACCAAAGAAAAAGCCAGCAACAGCCTCGTCTAATAGCAAGTCTGTCAAGTCGTCGAAGGTCATTGAGATCAGTGCGTATCCCGGTTCTGTTCACTATCAACAGGCTGACTTCTTCGTATTAGGTGATGATGACTCTCCGTCCCCGCCTCGTAAGCCGACCGTCAAGCGCAAGAAGCCTGCTGCCCTTCTATCGAGCGATGAAGATGAAGAAGACTCACCTCCCAAGAAGAAACCTGCTTCGTCGACCTCCAAGCCCAAGACCGCCACAACAAAACCTCGACCTTCGACAAACTCTAAGTCCAAAACTAACGGGAAGAAAGCGGAAGGTTTCGTTTCCATCAAACACCACAATGACGACGATTACGCTTCAGCTTCCGACGAGGATGAGGGGTTGGTCCCGAAGAAGGCCAAACCGCCTGCCAGGAAGAAAGCCAGCACCTCGAAGGATACTGACGGGAAGGGCAAGGAGAAAGCCAAAGATGAACCTAAGAAGCCCAAGTACGTTCCTTCTCTTACCACATTTTACTGTGCTGACACGGCTCATAGCTGGGCCGCTGTGAAAGCCGCAAAGTTAGCCGCGCCTGTCGCCCACGGCTCCAAAGACGTCCCGGATGGCCAGCCCGACTGCCTCCTGGGCCTTTCATTCGTTTTTACCGGCGAACTAAGTAGTTTCTCTCGAGAAGAGGCGATTGATCTGGCGAAACGCTTTGGCGGGTACGTTTATGTTCCTCCTCCAATTCAATGTCTTATTTCTCTCAGACGAGTGGTGGGACAACCCTCATCACGCACCGATTTCGTCATCCTAGGCGACAATGCTGGGCCGTCCAAGTTGGCCGCTATAGCAAAGCACAAGATTAACACTTTGAACGAGGACGAGTTCTTGAATTTGATCGCTACCCGGAAGGGTCCTGGCAATGGCAAGGTGGATGAAAAGACTAGGAAGAAAATGGAAAAGGAGCAGGAAGCCATCAAGAGCGCCGCCAAAGAGATGGAAAAGCGAGAAAAGCAAGCAGCGAAGGAAAGCAGGGAAGCGGCTGGCAGGTAGAGTCTCTCTCGTCTGTCAGGGTGTAGCATGACTGAACGTCTTTGCAGTTCGAAGGTAATTGATCCTTCTTCTCAACTGTGGACGACGCGATACTCTCCTCAATCTCTCAAAGAGATTTGTGGAAACAAAAGCCAAGTAGATAAGTTACTTCAATGGCTTAATGATTGGTATGCCGACTCCTCTTCCTGAAATTTCATCATATCAATGTCGTCCAGGCCTCAGAGTCTCAAAAGCGGGTTCAAAAAACCAGGGAAGAACGGAATGAATATCTTTAGGGCTGTCCTCATCACGGGTTCCCCTGGTATCGGTAAAACGACCAGCGCGCATCTTTGCGCGAAACTAGCTGGATTAGCTCCTATCGAACTGAATGCGAGTGATGCGAGAAGCAAGAAGCTCGTTGAAGTACGTCACGCTTTCTCTTTTGTTGGCCATAACATACCAACTCTGCTGACTAGAACGGGATGAACATCAACAACACATCGTTAGATGGGTTTCTGAGTGGCACCCACGTTCGTGAATAGTTATGCTTATCATCTGTGGACTCAGGTGGCCATATTCTTCTAGAAAACAAACTCTGCGGGCGTCACCATTACTGATCGAAGTTGTCTTATTATGGACGAAGTCGACGGTATGTCCGCCGGCGACCGGGGTGGCGTCGGTGCGCTCAATGCGTTAATCAAGAAATCTAAGGTTGGTGAAAGCCTAGTCATCGTCTCCGCCAGCTGAGCTACATCTGAACTCTTAGATTCCCATTATTTGCATTGCCAACGACCGTAACGCCCAGAAGTTGAATCCATTAAAGGGCACAACATTCAATATGCACTTTTCGAAGTAAATGGTGCTAGCTAAAGAGATGTAAACTTACTCACGCTTCCTCTTCTAGACCTCCTACCGCTCAAGTCCGTTCCAGAATTTTGACAATTGCCTTCAAGTAATGTCCTTTCTTGATCTCTCTGTAACCCATATTCACAGTGTTTTTAGGGAGAAGATGAAGATTCCAGCGAATGTGATAGATCAACTCATTGCTGGATCACAATCAGATATCCGACAGGTTCTTAATATGCTATCAACATGGAAGTTGTCCAGTGATTCAATGTCTTTCGATGAGGGCAAAGCATTGTAAGTGCTGTAAACTTGCTAGTATCAGCGACTTATTGACGAACGAAGGACGAAAATGAACGAGAAATATTCGATAATGAGTCCATTTGACATCACGTCGAAGATGTTGGGGCCATATTTGTTCTCAGCAACAGCTCGGGAGACACTGGGTGACAAGATGGAGCTATACTTCCAGGATCACTCCTTTATTCCGTTATTCATTCAGGTGCGCTGCTCCTCGCCCGATCCTTATTTCTTGGGACTTAAACGCCGTTCAGGAGAATTATTTGAAAACGCAACCTGCAAAGCTTCGGAATCTCGATGGTCCGGATAAAGTCTTGAGAGAACTCCAGCTGATGGACAAAGCTGCTGCGTCAATATCCGATGGTGATTTAGTCGACGGTCTTATACACGGGTTGGTTACGTATTGCCATTCTGTGATTTCCTCTGACATATGGGCTCTACAGACCGGAACAACATTGGTCACTGATGCCGCTTCACGCTGTGTGCTCTGCTGTTCGACCAGCATCTTTTCTTTACGGTCAGGGCGCTCATTATGGTGGCCAGAATTCCATGTCTTTCCCGCAGTATGACTCCAATCTCCCTCTCGTTGGCTACGTATTGACTGGATGAAACCTAGATGGCTAGGGCAGAACTCAAAGCAGACCAAGCTCAATCGCCAGTTGGTTGATGTGCAGATCCGAATGCGGCTCAAGGTGTCCGGAGACAAATCAGAGATTCGACAATCATATATCCCTGCGCTGTTTCCTCACATTATTAGGCCTCTAGCAGATGAAGGATCGGTTCGTCGTACTCCATGATTGGCCGGGCATGTCTGACAACTGCACAGAGCGCTATTGATGATGTCATCGACCGGATGGATGAATACTACCTCTCAAAGGAAGACTGGGATACCATCGTCGAGCTCGGTGTCGACCAGAATAAGGATGACGTTGTTCTCAAGAAAATATCTCCTGCTGTCAAGTCCTCATTCACACGAAAGCATGCTTCTGCTGTAGTCATATATACCTGCGCTAATTGGGTTCTTTCTAGATACAATGGCCAAGAGCATCCCATACCCTTCCACAAAGGCCAAGATGTTGGTAAAGCGCCCAAGAAACTCGCTGCTGGTCCAGCTCCAGATTTGGAGGACGCTTTCGAGGTAATTATAGACTCCGGTCTTCTGACCCTACGTCTTTTACTTATTCCTACCATCAGTTGGATGATATTATCGATGATGTTTCTGATGACGAGAAGAAGCCAAAAAAGGACGATATCGATAACGACAAGCTCATCCATGTTGCCAAAGCGAAGAAGAGGACAAATAAATCGTAGTTTAGACGACCTAGTATCTCGTATCTCCCAATCTATCGCTTTGGTTTCTCACCTTTTCGAAATGCGTATTAATGCAGGGTCTGCCTCACCTAGACTTCGGACGAAGGGAAGGTTTCGGAGCTGCAGCCCATAAGTAATGCAAATGCCGCCAAGTGAAGCTGCGGGATAGTATCGAGAGATCTAAATAGTGATGCAATAGATATGAGCTGCAAGACAAGAAATCCTTGATTTCTTGGGTTTGGGGGGAGAGAACTCGGCTTTGAGAGAACTGTGAGTTGAGCAGAAGGGAGACCGGCAATGAAACCAGTCCGGAGATGGATACCGGGATGAAGAGATGCCGGAAGCTCAAACTCGTAGCAGTGGAAGCCGAGGACTCAGTTGTTCAGGGAAACCTGAAATCTGAGCAACCGAAAAGACGTAGCTGCACGTCAGACCAGGCGCTACCCATCCCAGAGTGAAGCTCCCAATGAGACGGGATGGCATGCAGCAAGTACCGGAACCCCCAAACCAGAGCTGAAGCTTGGGATACTTCAAAGCAATTGAATTCTATGTAGCGATGCTAAGATCAACAGTGAGAGTACATTATTCTATGGATATGGATGCAGGCAAGCAGGTGTCTAATACGAAACTGTTCAAAGGAGTTCTTCAGTTCAGCTATATGAGTGGGATTATATGACTTCATGATCATGGCAGGGATAAGGTCTTCTAGCTTACGCCAATAGATTAAGAATGCTAAAGATTTCCAATGGCCCTGCTTTGCTACTGTCTCTGGAGGGACACCCGCCAGTAAGAGTTCTGTAGCACCACCCGGCCTGAAGCTATGGCCATGGATGAAATCCAGATTCAGCAGTTCCCAAATTTTGCGACATCGGTCTAGAAACCATTCCTTAGTCATGGGAGCCCACGATGAGTCCGAGGTTTTGAAGGCGAAGAGTGGAGCATTGTCTGGAACGTCTTTGTTGGACTTTAGATGGGCACAGAGGGCTTCGACTGGGCATAGGTCCTCTCTGGAGGTGAAGATCAGATCTGCACCTTCCTGGTGTTCCATCTTGGCCCAAGGAATGTGGAACTGTGCTGACTCTGCACCTCCAAAGTGCCTGCGGAAAGAAATGTGAGCTGATTTTGCTACATGGGAGACATTCGTCAAATGCATTCCAGGAAGGAATAGTCAATTCTCCTAGACAGCAACACCCCCAGAAGGCACACAGGGCTACTGCCCAGACAGCGACATCGAAGGCATTTGACATGCGAAGGCCTTCACAGAGGGCAAAAAGATGTTCAAGCGTGACAGGACGGCGTTTGGGATGAGATGGGTGTGCTCCACGCTTAGCAGCAGCCGTCTTGATGTGAACCATGAATTCTTCACCCCCCGACCATTCTGCTAAGTTAATCTCATGCCAGGCTCAAAGACCTGACATCCATGTGCTAATGGTCTTGCCCAGAGTCTTGGAAACTGAAGTGTTGGCCACAAAGGCAGCAAGAAGAAGATAAGAAGCAGGCATGTGCTCTGATTCTGGGATATTACGCTTGTCAGCAAATTGGTGAAAGCATAGTAGACTGGCGCCATAATTTTGAAGAGTGGAAACTTCGTGCATTGTGCAAATAAGGGACTGGATAATGGCAGCATCATGAGGAACCTCGTTGTAAAGCTTTTGGTCAAATGAAATAGAGTGGGGGGATGTCCAGCAGAAGAGTCTATCCTCTGCTGGGACAAAGGGACGATATTCATTATAATCAATTTTGCAGCCTTTGCGAGGCTTTCTTGCTTTTGTTCAGCCAGATGGTAGACATGGAGGAATCGCCAGTGGTGGTGGTTCCCTACTGCTAGCCTCGACAGAACGTACTGCTGGAAGGGGGGTGGATCTGAATCTAATGGAAGTTAGCGAAGTGAAGGAGGGAATGGCACAAAGCAGGTCTAACCTAAACATGACAAATGAAAGGTGTGAGCTCATCTGGGAGCTGGAAATATGTTCTTTGCCTCATTTCCGGTGGACCCAGGTCTCCGTGTGAGATTGGGTCTGCCGGGTTCTTGGCAGATTCGATATAAGAGAGAGAAAGCGTGATGCATCTCATTGTCAGAATGACAGCACTGTGTTGAATGGAGAGATTGACTGAGATGCTTCGACTGCAGCCCTTCTCAAAGGCGCCGATGACTCCTTGGTTGTCAGAATTGGCCAGGATGGTGACATCCCTCAGATCACTAGCCTCGAGAATGTATATGAGGAATTCAACTGCTAAAGCCTCGAACCATCCAATATTCCTGCCCTCTGACTTCCAGCCTGGGTGTAAGCTCCAAGCATCCCATCTTTCATTAATTACCACCCCAATGCCCAAGTCTGTCGAGGCATCTACTGAGATATCCCAGTCGAGCTGTGGGCCCTTGGGTTCAAGCAAGTGAAAAAGGCCTGGTGTGGAGAGAGTCATCTCCCACCACTTAAGATCCCGAATCATCAGACTTGTCAGGTAACGGCAAGTGTAACAGTTTTCATTGAAACTAGCAGCAAAGGAAAAAATTGAGGGGAGGTGGGAACTGCCAAGAGGGTAAACGAAGGCAATGTGCACTAAGGATCCCTGCAGAGAGAGGGTTGGCGCCAGCAGGGCCAGGTGATTGGAATATAGGTCTATGAACTGGTGCACACAGTGCAGGAATTTGAGCCTCTTGTGCTTAGGAAGCAAAGCACGCTTGTTTTGGATGTCCCATTGAATACCGATGTAAACGAACATGAGGGAGAAATCAGACCACTTGGTCTTGTGCCAAGGGATGCTGAGGGGTTTGATAAGCTTCTTTGCCATGGCCATGTCATAAAGGTAAGAGAAGCCCAAAGATTCGTCTTCTGCTGATGGGAATTGAAAGACAGTTGAGATCATCTACCCATTTGACTGTGGGAGCAATGTTCTCTTTTTCCCAGATGTCCATGATGGTGTTCGCAATGGAACCTGCATTCCCTTCTGAAGAAGCACAGCCAAATGGGCAGCAGTGATCTATGAAGAAGCCTTTTGAGCCTTGAACAACAAAGTAGGACTTGTGCATGGGAAGGATGGGACAAGTTTGGTGAAATTTCACGATGTCTAGGGTCATCGCCTAGGTGCCTGGAGGTGCATGCGAGATCTAAGCAGGGACTTAATGTCAGAACATGATGATTAACTTGAGATTATTATTAAGAATTAGACTTGAAAAAAAAAGGGCCCTAATGGGCAGCTGAATGGCAGGTAAAGGTACAAATGTACCAGGTTGTACTAATGTACGTGATATGAATGTATCCAGAAAGTACGAATGTACCACATAATGGAAAGTACTAATGTACGAGAGAAGAGAAAGGTAAGAACACTCACAATATCCTGCTACCTGCACTGCAGAGCTGAATCGCATGTAGGGAATTTTTCAGTGTCGATATAGTCATTAGTGGACGGAATGTCCCTGGTACCCTTGGACAGGTTCCTGACCACATGAAGTTTGGGTTCTTCACCCGGTCCTTACTCCTGAACATTCACTGAAAGCAGGTGAGCACTGAAAGGGTCCCAAGATTGCCTCCACCTCGACATGAGGGAATGGGCCTGACATTCGACCTGCATCTACTTCCTCTTGCAAGTAGTTGTCAATGAAATCTTTATGCTCGAGGGAAGAAGCTCGGTTTGGGAAAATGATGGTGCAGCTGAAAGGGTGGGAAGTCACCCATTAGAAAGCCATTGTGTAGTTTGTGTACCAATTCAGGGTGCAGATGTGAAATGTTATGCTTTTTGAGGTAGAGATCGAAGGCATCTGCACTGTAAGGAGTGATGATGCGGTCCCAAATGAGAGAGAGATGGTCAAGCATAGGAGGCGGGTTTTGGCTCAGCCGTGCAGTGCCAGGTGAAGGCATGATGGTCAGAGCCAAGACAGAAGGAGCAGATATGGACAGGTGGGGAGCCATAGGAGCAATGGGTACCTCTCTCTGGCACAACATTCCAGGTGATACAGATCTTCTGGTTCTGATTTCCCCCCTTGGGAGCGATACTACCTCTATCCCCAGGAATGAAGACTGACTTGGTGGGCTGGCCTGACTCGAAGGAAGTGAATTTGCATTGGTGTATGTGGTGCCCTCTTCTGGTGCATATAAAGCAGATCGCGACGTTGGGCAAAGAGGTGCCAGCGTTGCTCCTCTGAAAGGACGACATGATCCTTCCAGTGCCTTGGTGGAAGGATGAGGCCAGGGAGCAGGAGCTTTGCTGTGAGGTGAGCTGGTTACGCATACGAACATATTCCTCCTCAGCGTTTGCAGTCCCTCTCATCATGGAGCTGCTCCTTGGTCTGAGAGAGTTCTGAGGCATAGTATGCTTGGGAGAACTTAAACCCCTTTTCTGAGTTGTGGTAGTCAATTCAGAGCTTTATGTCTGTGGCCAGGATCGCATCAAAAATGAGCGAGAAATCAATAAGGTTGTGGAAGAAAAGAAAGTGGTCATCCCAGTGTTTGGTCCAAGCTAGGTCACGGATGCCACTTGGCGAAGGTTCACAATGAAGACATGAAGTCAACAAAGCAGAGGGCAGCATCCCTCCACTGCAGCTCTGTAAGGTCAGCCTCCTTCCTGAACCTGAGGTTGGAGATGTCGAGCACAGTGACCTTACCATGACCATGATCCTGGATCTTCTTCGAGGGCAGAGTGTCGCCTTCTCTCTGAATGATTGTGATGTTCGCAAGGGTGAACAGATGCAAGGGGATATACTGCCTGGCATCTGCTAGGCGATAGAGCTCTGAGTGGAAGCCCTCGAAGTGGAACAAGGAACCCAGTTGGCATTCTACTTCCTCACTGCAATTGAAGATCTTGCACTTTTCAGCGATGTCCAGAGGAGAGTCGTTGCCAGCCTCTCTTGACCTCTTCTTTAGCCCCAGAATCCCAGAGAAGAGCTCCTTCGACTTTGGAGTTATCTTGGCTAGAGCCTGCAGGAGTGAGGAAGAATCTTTAGGGGAAATGGGAGGAGGAGGGGTAGGTGAATGCTGTGAGCCCTCTGTGGTCAGCAGGGAGGCTAGCAACGAAGCAGGCGAGCGATCTGGGTTGCTGTGCTTCTCTAACCTGTCCTTGTTATCAGCTTTTACCAAGACATTTAGAGCTCTCTTGCGTGTGAGTGACCAGGATGCGAATCATGCCCTAGAATCATCGCTTCTGTGGGTCTTGTCCTTTCTCTGCTTGAGAGGGCTAGTGGGAGGCGCATCTTGCTGAGTATCGAAGCCTGGAGGTGCCGACATTGAAGACTGATATCAAAAGAGAGCGAAGAAACGGCGGAGCGACTGAAAGAAGAGAGCGGAGAGAGAACAAAGTTAAAATACACTTGCACCGAATAGCGCAAGATGATTGCATTGTTTGGCTGCCTCTGCTTGAGCCAAATAACTGGGAAAATGTGATGAAGCGCTGGGGCAAAGGGGGATCTCTCTGATCACTACGCTTTACTTGGCCAATCACAGAGTTTGAGCCATTCGTTCCTCACGTCAAACTTGTGTGGCACCAACACAGAATGCCAGAGATAAACATACCTTCCTAGAGGCAAACACCGCATAACATCTATCAGTCATCAAATTTTGGTTATGACTTGGAGCTACTAGTATGTCACTATGACTTATGTATTGAGACAGTATTCTTTGCCCCCCTTCATAGTCAACAATTTACTGATATTCCACCAAAGGATAGCAGCATATTAGACCTCACTGGCAACAGGGTTCAAGGCAATGATACAGGTCTCTTTCACCGGAAGATCATAACTCATAAATACAGAATACTAGACTCAGACACCTGGAGTAGTCCATTCATTAATGCAGTTTTCAATGTTGCGACATTGTATAGAGCTGACGTTGACGAGCTCATGTCCTGACAGACTAAACTAATGTTAGAATTTAGATCGTCACTTTATAAATGAAGCTATCTATGTATTAAGAGAGGTGGACCACAGCCACACAATTTGCTTATGTAAAATTAGCAGACTTTGAATTTAATGGCCATTCCCATACCATGGACTATTCTGGCTGAGTTTGAATGTTGCCGCATTGCCACCGGCCTTTATCAATGTGAGCTTATGCTCTTGCTGCATTGGAATAGATGTTATTGTTTTGGCTTTGCCTCAAGACTTGGAAGTCTCATACTCTTTGTACCTTTGTATTCCAGTATACCAGGAGCTGTGCTGAGATGTCCAGCATGCATACAGTATGATTCATAATTTTGTCATTTATCAGCATATGCATTGAATATTCTGTATCCACTTTCTCCTCTCCACTCTTCTTTCTTTGTGTTTTTTTTAATACTATGTTTTACCATGTACTACTTGCATTGGCATACATATATTACTAATATATGTTTAATATATAGTAAGCAGCATGTCATTGAAACT